GAATAAATTCTTTCACCATTTCTTATTTTATAAATAATAATATTTAATTGTAGATTAGATTCTTTAATCAACTATGTCACACTCTTTCATTATTATTCCAGAAGGCAAGTCAATCGAAGAAAATCTAAATATATATAAACAGTACATTATAACATTTAGAAAAATTGAACATGGTTTTTTTTCTTTCAAACATTGTATAGTAATATATTCAGATAATAAACGAATCGCTGTATGTTCTACTATTAAATTTTTAAATCTTATAAGCAGATCGACTTTTTTTCCTATAATTAGGCAATTAGAAAATTAAAAAACAAATCTTCATCCCTTTTAAATTACTTCTTTTTTTTTCAGTTAACTATTAATTGTATAAAAATTGGATAAAAATAATAATGAAGATTACAAAAAATGTGTAGGATGACTAACGTCACTAAAGATAAACAGAGACACAGATTATAAAGTACAAATAGAATATCATAATATGACGTAAACAAGCTTAAATTGTTTTTTTTAACTTAAATTCATAGAAAAAGAAAAATATCATAAAAAGTACTTTGTCACTTTTTTTTTTTTAAAATAATATTCTCAAATAAAGAAAATAACCGAACAACTATGATCAAATTATTTTCAACTAACGTCTATTACTCTTTGTAAGTATTCATGAAATTAATTTCTTTTTTTTCTTCTTCTTCCGTCACAGTAATAAATCATTAAAATTAAAATAAATGTCAACTTTATATCACACTTTATGTATCAGAGAACATATCAAATTTAAAAAGACTAAAAAAAAAAAAAAGTCATGCTGTTATATTCAATAAAGACAAACAAGATGTTAATATCTTTGATAACTTTTCACTAAAAACATATTAGACATCCCAAAGGAAATTAGTTTTTAAAGTCTTATTAAAAAAAAAGAAAGTACTTGACTTCTATGAATTTATCTACAAAAACATAATTTTTTTTTTTGAATAGAAGAACAAAATTTTCTTGAATAAACCTTTTCAGTTAGATAGATGTCAAATATATCAATTATTCGAAAAAATGAATACCGTCAAAGAATTGTCATATATTATAAAATATGAATGAGAAATTGGCTTTCAAGTTCATTGATAAAGAAAAAGAAAAAAATATTGTCACAATACGATTGTCTAGGGTTTCTCTTCATTGCGTGATTTATTACTCTATACCTAATCATCTTCAATAGCTTGCACAATTGAAATGACGACAATCATCAAGGAACGAATGTCATATTATTATTATTATTGTTATTTTTCGTCCATCGGAAGATGAACACGATATATTATTAAGAATGTGACTTTAATTTGAATAGAGGCATGTTCAATTTATTTGTCAAGATCTAAGTCACACCTTTGTATTGAGAAGTTTTGTCTTTTCGATATTTCTAAAGGAAATTACTGAATGCAATTAAATGAATTCTATTGAACATATAAACTTGATTATGTCGATAAAAAGAAGCAAAAATATTCGAATTTATTATTATTAAATTTTCTTTTTTTAAAAGACAAAAAAAAAAAAGAAGCTTTATTATAAAAAATTATTATTTTAAAACTAGACTTTCAAAGTTTTTTAATCTTACCTCTATTTTGTAAATTCATAATGATTAAATGATTTTTTTTTATTGAATATTGAAAATTACGATGAAATACCAATAATAATTGTAGCAATGTGAAATAACTTATTTCAATGTATACATAAGAAAAATGCAAATGAGAGAAAAAAAAAATAAATTAGACGAACGCTAGAAATCTCAGTTGACGATGTGCTATATAATTTTTATCAATTAATTTTTTATGCAATCTAGAAGTAAAAGATATGCAGTTAGAAAAAAAATCTATTGACATTTTTTTTTTCTTATTTTCATAGTGTTCTTCTTCAACGAGTCAAGATGAACTTCTGAATAATGCATCAATATTTACTTTGAGTTTCTACAACTCGTTTGAAAAATATATTGACGTAGTATTCTATTAATAAGATGAATACAAATAGAAAGGAGATAGAGTTTATACAATGAGAAAAAATAAGTGTAGACGTCATTTCTAAAACCATAATGAGACTTTTATCTTTTTTACATAAAGAAAACATTAAAAATGATTACCAAGACGTTATTTTTAACTTCATCAAAGTTAACATCGTATTCCAAATATAGAGTCACATGTGTATATCTAAGTTGATCAATGACTTACTTCGTTCTATCTCTTTATCGATTTCCCAGCGGTTGGAAGTTATTTTAATACTTATAATATATACCATATGGTGCCATAAAAATCATGAAACAAAGATAAGACTTCGAGCTAATATTCAATTATTTTTAAATTGCATTTTGGATTCAAGATTATTTTCTTATCTTCATATTTTATACTAATCGATAATAAAATGAAAAAATAACTATGTGAAGAATGTTTATAATTGATCATTAATGATATCCTGCAAATACTCATTAAAAATGACTATAGTAAAGTTATCTAGTATGTTTTTAATGAACACTCTTCACGTGTTCTCTCTTTCACATTATATATGCGCACAAAAAATATTCATAATTTATTTTTCTTTTACGAAGACGAAATGTTAAATAAGTTGTTGAGTATTTATAAGTTAATATAACTGTTATCTAAAGCACTAATAACACATCTGACAAAATAGATGGCGATCTCCATATGTTGTTGCTATTTTAGTCAATTTATTATTGTTTAGATTTTATCTTTTTTTTTGATAAGACTCATCATGTAATTGTGTACACAACGATGCAATTTATTCAACTAATATATACTTCTCCTTTTGTAGAATCTAACTTATTTGAACAATTAGACTAGATACAACTTTTCAAGCTTGTACGTTTTTTTTTTTCTAGAAAATATTTTTATTCTTAAAGTATTATGAGTTATGTTATAAAAAATTTACAAATCATTTTAGTGAAGAATCTATTCTAAAGAATTACCTGGAGTGCATTAGTAACTATAATGAATTATAAATGTGTCATAATGAACTCAAAAAATACTATAAGAATAAAAAAAGTTTTCTAAGAAAATAAAGTAGAAAAGGATGCAAATTTCGAATATTGTGTAATCTCAATTTTCAAATAAGTTGTGTTCTAGAGTAAGAGAAAAATGCATTAGTTCAGTAAATGATACCGTTTTGTGTAGAAGTACATGACAAAGTCCTTCAAAAAAAACATATCTGAGCGATGAAAATTGATTGAAATGTCAACAATATAATAAGACTGCCATTTATTTTGCCCCACCCACTAAGTGTGCTTTTTTTTTCGCTAGTGTTATACTTTCCAAAGACTATTATTATTATAACACGATAAATAAGCATTTCTTTACATCAAAAAAAGTTTTCTATTTTCTAGAGAACAGATATTTTGTCTAAGAAAAACACATATCTAATAAATATTCACATACTATTTAGCTTGATTATTTTACAAAAAATATTTATTCATCTATTTTGATTAACATATACAATGAGAAAGCACAAATATAAAACTTTACCATCAGAAGACGATAAATTAAGATCTGCATCTTCATCAGCTGTTGCATGTCTGATTGAATATTAAGGGTACCCCCCCCCCCCTCTTTTTTGACCCAAAACTCGATTTTGAGCTGAGCCCAAGATATGATAGCCTTAGGTGCCATGTACAGCTAGAGACATTATTCGACTCGAAATGTCTTACTTTTACCTATTTATTAGATCGAGAAAATTTTTTTTTTCACAGTAATCGTATGTAAATTTATTTCTTTTATTTAGCGTTCTGTAAAACAGCGATTTTCTCGATCTTGACACATTACGACCCCCTTTTTAGTTTGTCCGATCGAGCTGAAAATTTCACGACTAATACTTCGAAGTATTAGTCGTGAAATTTTCAGCTCGATCGGACAAACTAAAAAGGGGGTCGTAATGTGTCAAGATGCGAACCTCTGGAAAACCAGAGTTTTTCGGAAAATCCCATAAAAAGTTATTTAAAATTTTTTTTCCTCGGACACATATCTCTTTATTTTTAGTGCTCTATCTGTGCTAAAAATTTCAGCTTGATCGGTTGTACCATCTTCGAGAACCGGCAAGTGTCAAAAAAGAGGGGGGGGGTACCCTTAATACATCAAAAAAAAACAAAGAAATTTTTTAAATATATTCTAAATTTTGATCATGTTTTATTTTGTCATCTACATTTCTTATTGGCATAACCATCATCATTGCTAGTATATAAGAAAAATATCATCTACTATTCATAAGGATGATATATCACGAAAAGAAATCGCCTTTCTTGGATTTTATGTTGCTGTTGTTGGAGCTGAAGAGGTTATAATCATTAAAGATCCATTGTAGGTACTTGAAAGTGTTTAGTATGAAACACTTGTAGTTGATGTTGAAACAAATCTAGGTTTAAATGATATCAAAGAACTATTCGATGCATTAAGTAGATGCAATGATAATAGAGAAGATTGTCCTGACATAGTCAAGTAGACGGAAATTATCAACATAATATCACTTATGCAGACAAACGTAAATAATAATTTATGTTTTATATCATTGAAAAAGTTCAAATAATTAATCGAGTGAGAAAATCATGCAAATTTATATCTACAAACTTTTTGTTTTTTGTTTCTTTTGAATAGTAAATAGCATGAATTATTAATGTTTGATAGAATTTAACGCATTAATACTTGCATTATCCATTATTAATGCATTTTTGTCTTGATAATTTACTTGTTATTGAACGTGGTAGCACAAGAAGTGACGTTGATGGAATGAAAGATATTAATGATTATGTTGTCATGGGATTTAACTTATTTCGTGACAATTATGGATTAGAAATATCATATCGGTTTGGATCTTCTTCACTATTAGTTGCTATTAAAATAGGTCATTTCAAATATAAAAAAATAGAAGGATTTCTATTCGAATAAAGATTTAATCAAATGTTATGAAAATTTTCATGTAAAAAAAAATCTATTTTAATCTGTAGTAAAAGGTTCTAATAGTCGCTGTCAAATGGTGGTAGAAACTGTTTGTGAGTTCAACGTATCGTATCGGCTATTCAATAAAGTAGAAGTCTCATTAGACACATTAACCCCGACTAAATCAGTATCTGATAAAGGTGCAATGAATATGACTTCATCATAATTTGATCGTGTATCACGACTACGATGAGCAGATGGTAAATATAATGATTGACCATAACTTTCAATAGATCCATTTAAACGTTGAATATATATATTAAAAAGATGAGAATTAATAGGAGCAAGATATTCATGTTTTGTTGTCCATTTTTTATTCAATTTATATTCTAAAGCAGCTTGATCAGATATTTCATTGTTATTATCAATAGTAGTTGTTGGCTGTGTTTTAGTTTGTTCTTTATGATCAACATTATTTGATTTAACTTCATTTTCATCATTATTTTTTTTTGAATATCTTATTTTATTATATACTGATCGTATATAGGCTAATGTTGATCTAAACATTGGATGATCATACATTTTTACAGGATCAACTTTTTCTGCATATACATATGACATTGATTCATTTCGATTATATTGCATTACTGCACTAACATCTCTTGGAAAAGTGTCATCATATTCATCACCCATCCATCGATATGTTTCGTCTGATGAACCAATACCTGCTCGTGACATTGCAGCTGATGTATTTTGATAATCATTACCATACATTCTATGTAAATAGTCATCATAATTTCGACCAGGTAAGGTACTTGTACCAAATGCTGATCTACGTGGTGGCATAGCACCACTGTATCTTTCAAGTAAACGATCATGATTCTCAGTTAAACGTTGTTGTTGCAAAGAGTGTTGAACAATCATTTCATTTAGTCTATCCTCATCAGAAAGATAATTTCCATCATTTGAAAAAGTCAATGGATCATATGAATAATTCATAAAACCTTCATTATACGGTAATGATGATAATTGTGGATTATGTTGCATTTGTCGATAATATTCAACTAATAATGCTTGAGTGAGTGGAGCTGATGGATATTGTTCCATATTATAATTTGGTGACATCATCGACATTTCTTGTGGCGAAATGTATGGCGTATTAGCAAAATCTGATGTTGGATACATTGTTTGCTGTTGAAAATCGTATGGTGACATTGTTTGCCAAGATGACGGAGGTATTTGCCCAAATTGTAATGATCCTGCTGGTGTAACTGGTGACATTGATTGCCAAGATGACGGACCTATGTGTGTAAATTGTAATGGTTCTGGTGGTTTAACTTTTGATTTTGATTTTGATTTTGATTTACCAACAGGAGCTGGTAATGGTACTGGTTTAATATCTAATACACGATAATTTAAAGGTGCTGGCAAGAAAAATTTTCTAATCGGTGATGAATTTACTTTACTAAACAAAAGTGTAAAAAAATATAATTTCTTTTTTCGTTTCAAACATACGGTATTTGTTTCTTGCTATGAACACCATCCAAAATGAATAGAATACCAGTAATAAGAAAAAGTACCATAGCAAATACAGCAACTACATATGCCCAATTAACATTTATTGGATAGCGAAATACTTCACCACCAAATACTGACACACCAATTAATGAAAAAATAACTAAATAACGAATAGAATTAATATTATTTAAAGTCAGAAAAAGACATATCTTACAACAAAAGAAAAGTATAAGTCCTGCAATGATATATGTAAATGTTGGTTGTTTAACACGTTCTACAAAATAACCATTTTCTTGATGACGAAATTCTTTTCGAAAAATAACAATTACAACCAATATAATCATGCCTATAATATAAGCCATTAACATAAATGCTTGCGCTGCATTAACCCATGCTAAACGTGAAAAGAAAAATTATGAAGACGAAAAATTATGAAGACGAAAACAATAACCTACATTGATTGCTTTGGGAGTTGGATAATGTACAATAACCCTGTGTAGCACTCTTTTTATATATCGATGATAAATAACATTGTTTAAAAAGACCAATTTCAGCAAACACTTCTAATGGATAATATTTTTTATAAGCCCATTCTGGACAACAAATGACAAGAAGAAGCAAAAGTAATGCAGAAAGATATACAAAAAAACCCCATTCTATATATGGACCATACCAATATGCCCATGTTACACGATTTTTCCTATATAAAAATAAACAATTTTATTTTTATAAATAAAAAAAATAAAAATGCTTACTTAAATCTTTTAATAAATTCAATAACATACATTATAAAAATAAATATTAGAAATACACTAACAATAATAGCAAATGCAAATGAAACATTCAGATTCCAATTATTATCATGTCGTGAGCCAACAAATGTTATCCATGCTGCAAATTCAAATACACCTAAATGAAAACAAAAAACAAAAAAGAAAATCAATTGTATCAACACAAATCTTTGATGTTTCTCATACCAAATACATAGATAATATAAAGAAGAAGACCATATCTTATAACTGTATCATGTGTATTATAATCACGAATAAGAAAACTACGAGATTCACCAGTCGAGTTTCGAGATAAAATATAATCAGCTATTAATAAAACAAGTACAATAAACATTAAACAAAAATTAAATGTCATTAAAAATTGTACGGTTACTAAATATCCTATAAAAATTAAAAATCTTTTAAATCTTGTTTTTGTATTTAAAAAAAAAATATTACCTTTTGTATTTGCACTAGTAAATCGAATTGATCCAGTTATATTTTGAAAAGTATCCGGGTCTGGAAAATAAAAATTTTGTATTGACGTATAATTAAAATTTTGAGCACTCCAAAGACCTTTTATAAAATATAAATATTTCATGAAAAAATTAATTAAAACTAGAACCTGCTCGAGAACCAGATATTTGAGAATAAGTTGACCAATATGGCAGAAATGTTGCTAGTGTATGTAATATCCAAGTAAAAGCCAATAACAGAATAGCAGGTAAAAAAAGACTTGGTATACGAGAAGTAGAAGATGATTTTGGTTTCTTCGGTGGTGCCATTGATGTCATATTTATTGGTTGATTCATAAACATGCCAGTTCCGGATGCAAAATTCGGTTGCATTTGAATAGCCGATGGATTATAGAAAGGTTGATTTGTGTTAATATTGATCATTTTCTATTTCAATAACTTCTCCTGCTATCGTTACTTGCACCTATATAAGTGAATATAACGCATGCATACTAAAAAGAAAACAAAATACAACTTGTAATGATTAACACTATATATATCTATCGATAGAAGAAAAAAAGAAAGGTAATAGCCTTCAAATATGACAAAATACACAAATAATTATTTCTTTTTTTCTTTTATGACCATCTTATGAATAAATGAGTGTAATAAAATAAAGTATAGTTAGAATTCGTTTCAAAATAAAACGTTTTTTGAGTTAAAAAAATTTTTAATTATGATTCTGTTCAAGATTTTTATATTGATTCATTCATCTATTGAAAAATAATACTATACTGTTACTAAACAAGGACACTATTCTATGTGCATATGTCATGCTTCATTGATACCCCTGTGCTTTTATATACATAATATTCAAACAGAAGAAAACATGATGAAAAAAAGTTTTTATTAGGTATGAATATGAAAAACAAACGTTACCAAAGTCTCCTTGATTTAAAAAGAGTGTTTGTCTTCGTTTTTGTACTAAGTAGTAAGCGTTAGAGCAACTTGCCAGTGTCGAATTCAGAAAATTCCTAAAATCTTACGTCATATCAGCAGAGAAAAATTCCTTTCGTGAGAAAGTTCAAATTAGATCTCATTTAAAATGATGAAGATCAAAAAGCACTGGATACCTGATCTGGTACTATTAGAACAATAATTAAGAATGAAACTAAAAAGTATAGCTATCAGACACGCAACACAATCAATATGATGAAAAAACTCTAAAAACAAAATATATATTTCATATGTTTTGACAGAAATGAAAACAAACATAGAACTATGTGAAACTATTTTATATTCGTATTCGTCTCATCTTCCTGCTGTAAAAACACTAATGGTTGTCATACTAATTATTGATTATGTTCATCAGATCTGAAGAAATAAATATTACGTTTTGATATTCATCATTTTAAATGAGATCTAGTTTGAACGTTCTCACGGAAGGAATTTTTCTCTGATAATATGGCGTAAACTTTTAGGAGTTTTCTGAATTTGATACTGACAAATTGCCCTAACGCTTACTGTTTAGTAGTAGTGAGTCCCATTTTCGATACGTTTTAATTTGGTATAAAATTTGTTATTGATCTTATTTGGAATTACAGCATTCCTCCTTCCCCCACCTGGAAAAATATTTTTACGTATTCATGTACTATTAACATTTCTAATGGTAGTTCATCTTATTTTAATTATCATCAGTATTATGAGTGTTCTTACGAATGATGAAAAACACTTCAATTCATTGATTCCATTTTGTATAAGTCAAAATAAATTTTAATTCTATATTAATTATACATATTTTCTTCATTTAGTTGTTATGAAACTATTATACAATTATCAATCAAACATTATATTTCTATTGTGAAGAACAACATGAATTTAGTATTCAACCAATGTTTATTAATTTAATTGAGTATTGTCTTTTATTTCTTTATTTTTTTGGTCAGTTCGTTTTCTTTTTCTCATAGATGGCCTTCAGGATTTATTTATGCATGTGATCCGTACCAGAAACTCGGTATGAAAATATGATTACAATTAATAGACGTATTTTTGTTTTCATATATAGATGATGATTATAATAAAACATACGAAGAGTATACTGTAGCATTACGAATATCTATTGGTGATCGAACTCGATTTGTTTTCTATTCAATTAATAAGAATATTTTAGATGATTTTGATAAAGATTATATGACGCCCACATCAAGATTACCATGTCTACGAATTAGAGATGTAGGTTAACTATAAGGACTTTGTTTTCTTTTTTATAATTATGATATCTTTAGAATCATGAAACAATAATATATCATTGTCGTACTGTATCAATATTATATAATTATGATAAATCAAATGATTATTTATCAACTACAAATGTTATTTATCTTGAACTTATTCAATCATCTCGATTATTCGATGATAATAATCATTATCAATTTAAATTATTTTTTACTTTATTTACTCGAAAATTAAAACGTAGAATTTGCTCATATAAATATCTTATTGATTGTAATGATTTATATTGTGTACATGAAAATGCACATTGTAATGATATTGATGGATATCGTTCAAAAATTGATGAAAAATCATGTAAAAATAAAATGTCAAATGGGCTATCTATTTATCACAGATCATATATTTGTTCAATTTTCATATTGTTTTACGCTTTAACACATGGACAAAGTTTATCCTGATTATGACATCGACATGGTCGATCAAATTTACATCGACAATTAAATGCATAAGGTTTACCACAACCAATGAACGAATAACGACCGAATGGTACAATGTTTTGAGTATTACTAAGTGTTGTTGTACCAATTGTTGGTTGTCTACGAAGTGATGGAGTATTACGACGATAACCTTTTGTTTTTAGAATAGAAAATTATTTAGACAATTATTCTTTATTATAAACATACCGAAAAGTCCATTATAGTTGACTACAGGTTTAGGATCACTTAAAAACAATTCATGCCCACGAACTTCTTCGATTGAATGTCCTTTAATTTAAATATATATATATATATATATGTTTTTTTTTTCGATTAAATTTGTTTTACCTGAACCAAATTTATTTCGAAGTGATAAATATCGAAAACCATGACCATTTGTAAAAAAACGATCATGTACACGACCAGCAATAGATTCGTGAGAAGCTAACTAAATAAAATCAAAAATAAAAGATTATATAATTTATTATATTAAATCATTTAAATATACTTGTCCAGTTTTTTCTAATGTTTTTGGTAAACCAAAAAATTGAAAATAATTTTGAACCTGTGGATCTAGTTGTGAATTATATGGTGGAATAACAGAACCTAATTTTGGATTAGCTTGTGAATAATCAATTGAAATATTTGAAACAGCTTTACAATCAAGTATAAAACTTTGTTCACGATCAAATTGTACTCCAGGTGGTGGTGTTGGTGGAGAACGATATAATTTATTATGACGATATAAACTAGAAGAACGATTTAATGAAGCTAAACGTCGTCGAGGTGTTTTTGGTTTAGATTCATCATGATTTTGTCTTCGATTTGTGTTTAATGGTGAATCAGCTGTTTGACTTCTTTTTGGTGATGGTTCACGTTTTGGAGATGCCATGATATGTATATGTTTTCTTCACTTAATCAATTGCTCTAGATATGATTTCACGTTGGCAACTAAATAATTTCTTTTCTTCTGTTTCGACACAGATGATGGAATACAAGTTTGTGAATGAGAAAATAAATCAAAATAAAAAACTATAGCAATTTTCAAGTAGATGCATTGACAACTACAACGACAAAAAACAATATTGTTGTCAACAGAAAGGTTTAGTCGATAGAGTAGACATAAAGCGAGAGTGTGTCTGTGTGTGAATGGAAACTAAAAAGAAGTATTGCTTTCAGAACAAGTATTTGGAAAGAATAATTTGAATGAAAAAAAGAGATTTTTTTTCTTTCAATTAATGTGTTCTTGTATTCGAATACCCAGCATACATTTTCATAAGAGTGATTACAGACAAGAAAAAATAAATTTGGTTGAATAGCAAAATTCTCAAAATAGAAAGTTCATTTAAATTGATGATCGATAAATATAAACATCGAGGTAATAAAAATATTTATATGAAAATTTATTGCTTTATGATCGATGACAAAAATCCCAATTTTTGTGGTTTAATAAGTTAATGAAACTCTTAAATCGATTGTATACAAATAAATAAAATCAATACAAATAATATACCTTATTTTTGAGATTATCTAACTCAGTTTGCATCTTGAAAATAACCGACTCAAAATATTGGTCATCCGTTCATTATTCGAATACGATAAATAATGAACAGATAAGCGTTTATTTTTATCATATTATTGTCAAAGATATAAATGCATTTTTTGTGATATTTACATGACATAACTATTTCTTAAGTAAATGCTCAACAAAACTCACATTACCGATCATATTGTACGAACACTTATCGAAATTTTCAAAACTTCAAGTATTTTTAAAAAATAATATAGGCTTCAGGAATAATTTCAATTCGATATATACAGCTTGATTACGTTATTTTTGATGGTTTTGTACAGTTTGCTGTATTTATGCAAAACATCGGAGAATCTTTATTTTGGTATAGTCGGATAGGACATCAGTGACTCTATCGAGCTATATAGTTTTCATTTCATTTGTTTTGCATCTTGTTCAAAAATTTGATGAAGTTCGAGAAGCGCTGAAACGAAACTTTTGCACAGTTATATTTTAGCAGCAGTAAGCTCAATAATAACGAAAGTTGATGTGAATGGAAGAGATTCATCACAATTCCTCGTGCAAAAAAAATCAAACAGAAGTGATTCGAAATTGAGGAGAAAATGGATGCTTGGTGGTAAATTTTCGCCCATTTTTGTGCCAGTGAAAAACCAAGTTTGTGTCATTTTTCGCAAAAATTCACTTGTAAGACTCAACGTAAATTTCACCAAAACTGTAAAAACGATAGAGACATCAATGCTCTATTCAGTTACATGTTGAAGAAAAGAAGAGTAGATATTTAAAAAACAAAAATTTCTCTAAAAAACAGCGGAAAACCATATATGAAAAAAGTTCACGAAAAAGCTTCTGAAAACTTCACCAATTTTATAGTAGAAATATAAAATAAATCTATCCAAAAAATATATAGTTTGATAGAGAAAAGAACGGTTTATTGTTCTATATAAGAATAAAAAGTTTCAATATCCCAGTAAATAATAACCATCGAGAAAATTATCTTAGAAATGATCTGAAAATTGCTGGCTAAAAAAAATGGTTTTGACTGCTTTTTAAGATTTATCAAATTTTTGGGCCAGATCCAACGGAAATAAAATGAAAACTATATGGTTCGATAGGGTAATCGATGATCTATCCAACTGTATCAAAATAAGGAACTTGCGAGTTTCTACACAAATACAGCAAACTGAGCAAAACTATCAAAAATAACG